CAGCTGCGCCGACTCGTAGTCGGCCAACCAACGAGCCTCACAGTCGACCAAAACAGAAGGCACGCAAAATGCCAACCAGTACTGAGGAGACTGGGCGTACTCCGGTCCGGCGGAATCCCACGCAGGAGGAGATAATCGCGCAGATTCTGGGGAAGTCGACAAATACCTCTGCGCAGAAGGCACCAATGCCTTCGGAAGAAAACGGACGAACTGACAGTCGACCGACTACGAGTCGGGCGACTGAAGGTCGACAAACGGAAGAAAGGCCGATTGAGCGGCGCGTTGAACCGGACAACAGGCCGGAAGCAAAAGAGAGTTTGGCTGACGAGCCAACAACCCTCAGAGGGTCGTCTTCGGCGGAAGGCAATTCTGGGAAAACGCCGCCAGCAAGCAGGCCAAGTGGAGTGAAGACGCGCAGGGTGTATCCGACTGCCAATCGGACAACTGCTAGTCGGCCGACTGCGAGTCGGTCAACAGAGAGCCGGCCGGATTCGCCGACTGCGAGACGGACAGGGCCGGCGACCAGTGTGCGGACGCCTTCGGCGGACGCACCTTCAGCGAAGACACCTTCCGCGCAGATCGCGCCGGAAGGGCAGGCAGCAGAAGCGGGCGGTGCAAAGGTGACAAAAGTCACTGCGGCGTCGACCCCTTCGGAAACCGAAGATCGAGCCGGAACAGGGGCCCAAGCAGTGGGATCCCCCACTGCCTTGGATATTTTAGCAGGTAGTGGAGCGGCAGTCGCGGCGGAAGCTGCTGCGCGCCACAGTTCCAAGGAGTCGCCAAGGGATTCGGTGGCGACTGAAATCCTCGAAACGGAGGATGAGACGAGCTCGGAAGAGCAGGAAGCGGATTCTGTGCAGAAAACGCCAACAGGGGTGTTGTGCGAGCAGATAGTCCCACTCCTACGATATCTGGATCGCAAGACATCCAAGTACTCGGGTACCGGAAAACCGCAGTCTTATGTGGAGACTGTCAAGCGTAGGACGAGGAGCAAGGTGGCCACTTGGGCCTCTAGGTGCCAAGTATTGCAGGATAGGAACACTACCCTCCGACAACACCTGGCGGTCACACAGAAGCTATACCAAACCTTGCAGCAGCAGAGGGAGGATGCGGCGACGAAAAGCCAGGCGGATGCCGAGCTAATGCGGGCAAAGATTGAGTCGGAATTGCAGGAAGAGCGGAGACAAAACCGCATCCTAGCAGCAGAGCTTGCGCGCCAGACGCGCGCCTTAGAAGAAAGTCAAAGAATACGCAAGGAGGATGAGGAGTTGTTGCGCAACTTGCAATCCGAGTGCTCGGATTTGCGGGCGCAGCGTGCGGAAGCGGAAATGCAGCTAGCAGAGGTGGAAGTCAGCTGCCGGGCGCGAGAAGAGTTGGCGACGCGGGTGACTCACTGTCTAAAAGGATACGCCCATTAGGAGGTGGCAGCTCAAGAGAGGATCACACTCAGGGAGTTCGAGCTTCGGGCGGCGGCATTGACGGAGGGTGACAGTCGGAGTCGGCGGCGAGTAGCGAGGAAATTAGAATCCTTCTTGTCGGGTGCGCGTGACACTATGGCGCACTTAGAGTCGGAAGTGACTGCAGCCCTCCGACGCCTGGGGTTGCGCAGCCGGTCGGAAGATTGGCATGGTAGAGATAGAGAGCGAGGCAGTCTGGCGCGCAGGAGGCGCAGCACCGGATCTGCAGAGTGCAGTAGTGTAGTTTGGTTTCGTGCAAGTGTTGCGAGTAGTAGATAGGATAGCGTAGTGTTAGTTAGGACCTTTGAGGGTATAAAGTAGATCAAGGCGTTTTGCCTTGGGACTCTTCCAGTTTCGGAAGTGCAGATCAGGAACTCACTTTCTTGGCGTGTTTGTGCATTTGGTCCTGGCACCACGTAGAGAAGCTGCAGCATAGCGAAGTTACCGTATGTTGTAGTTGAAGGTCTTCGGCTGAATGTTCAGAGCTAGCACCCGGTTAGAGACTTGAGTAGTGCGGATCTGCACCTGCGGGTGATTTCTGATGCTCAGAGCCGGCTCCGAGTTAGATACTTGAACAGTTCCTCCTTACTCCTTCGAGTGACATATCCTGATTGTACTCCTACGGGAAGTTTCCCGTGAATGCCAATGTGAAGTTTTATTACTTCGTGTAAGCCTTGGTTTGCAATTCAGGTTGTGTGTGTGTTACTGGATCGTGTCTCAGTTAAGTTCTCAGTCGGGCCTGCACTCCCTGCGTTTGGTGTGAGTCGAGGGTGACGTCCACGGCGTATGAAGAGGCTTCGTTCCGAAGTGGGAAGTCCAGTCCGGGTACCCTACGCTAGTTCCTTGCGGAAGGGCAGTAAAAGCCGGAGTGGGAGTCACTACCTGCAGAACCTCTGAGTGAACTTTTGAGACACTTTCCTCCTGAAATCCGAAGCGGAGGTCCTGACCAACCTCCGAGTTGTGCTTTTGCCAGTTTCAGGTGTGTGTGTGTATGTTGAGTGACTACGCTGTACTGTGCATCCTCCGAGATCCTCCTCCGAGTCGAGCCTCCGAGTCGAGCACTGCAGTATTTCTGGGAGTGACAGTCGCCTGAGAATTCAAACTCTACAAAAGTCTGTTAAACGTGACACTGTTTACTCTGTGTGTTGCCTCTGTCCCTGTGGGTTCGATCTTTTTACCACCATACTGCAGTTTTAGCCTTTGGTGGGTTATTACAATTACTTAATCTAATGTGATTGAACTTTGCTCAAGACAAGCTATATTTTCAGCAATAGGTTTGATAAAATTGCAACTCTCTTTGTTGATTGCAAAGTGATGATCGTGCTTCATCAATTTGAAGATCTCATGGTTGATTAACGATTTGTAGGCTAATTTTACCTTGATCACAAAATATTAAAATTTTTTATGATGTGATGCAACACTAAGAAATGCGAGCACTATTGAATATTATTGTGTTTCACATAAACTTGATAAATAACTTGTGAATGTTTTTTTTTGATCTCACGTTTTAAGATGTATTGTACAATAATGATACCTCGTGAAAATGTTGACAAATTTGCAATTTTTCTTTTAAGACTTGCTTCATATTTACCCAAATTGACATGTATTTTGTGATCAAATTTAGCCGGTGGAAACAAAATCGCAAGAAAACTATGTTTGAAAGCAAATTGGTCAAATTACTTCTCATTTGATTCATTGTAGTTGGACTATTGAATACAAAGACAACCATTGTTGTCAATAAAAAAACAAAAATTATTGATTGACAATATCAATGATTTATGCAACACATGTGCTGTTGGTCTACTTGTAAAGTGCACTATGTCCAAGATCTGTTGTTTTTCCGTGATGATGACAATCACAATGTAGATTGAACTATTGGAAACATCTTAGCATTCGTCCATTGTTAGCGTCATATTGCTTGCGTCCTTGAATTGATCTCCAAGCTCCAACAAACACTTCATGTAATTTTTTTTAATAGTCTATTGGAAATCATTATTCTTGAGTAAACGATATAGTTAAGATTGAAATCATGTATCAATACTTGAACTTTTTTCGATTAAACATTGAATGCATTGTTGAATGTGATCAATAAATCTAAAAATTATAGATTATGAATCTCTTGTATGTATTCATTGGCGCACTAAAAAACTTTAGCAAAAGTTTATGCTTGTGGTATGACACAAAAACTTGTTGTGACTCCAATCATAGTTGCGATGCGATTAATGACTCCATTAAGTTTTGTTTACTTTTTGAGTATCTCTTTACATACACATATATTCAAATATACTTTCAGAATTTGAAGTTCATCAATGCAAGACATGATGTTTTAATTGATAGGGCTTGCCATCAAACAACTTTCCACAATGTTCACACATTGCACAATAGCGATTTTCACTATACTTCTCAAATAAACAAGGTAAACAATGCAATCTTGAATTTATCATCTTACCTGTATTTTTCCAATCACATGGTAATTTTTATTTGATGTCTGGAGGTAGCCTGTATTTTTCCAATCACATAGTAATTTTTATTTGATGTCTGGAGGTAGATTGTGACGATAATCACATTGTTCTTACGCTCTCAACTTTCACGTTGGGAACATGAAAAACATTGACGAACACTGACAAATTATGTATCCACCAATTTAGTGTGAGATGTTCTTTTTGCCAAATAAAACACGTGTTCCAATGAACATACCTCAATTGCCACTATCTGGTTCTTCATATCACATTTTATCAAGGCTAACATATGCACTAAGTCACATCGATTCCAATTGCACTAGCTTGCACTATGACTTTGTCTCTACAATCTTGATATTTAGAGACACATACTCAAGCAACTTTGCCAATGTCAACACCAATCCTTGTCAATTTCTTCGGACCTTGTAAAGGAGGAGAGTGACCATGCACTCGTAAGCTATGTTCTAGTTGTTGTCATGTTGTTTTCGTGGTGAAACTTTAGTAATCAATTGTAAGTTATGAATCTTGAAATCTTTATGTTGGAATAGGTTTGAAATTGTCATGGCTTTGAGGTTATGTCTCCAACCCTACATACATGACATTAAAACTTGGTATCTCACCCGTGAAATAATATCAATTTTTTAGTAAAATTTTAATTAATCAAACAAATAGAAAGAAGAACATCTACATTTTCGTATACTTGGTGAATAATACCAGAATGCCTTGTAAGAACTATAAGTTATTGTTCATTTACAAGCTACACATCAACACAGTGAATTAAAAGATGAACACCTACATTCGGATACGGGGTGAAATATACCAGAAATCGGAAAGTCATTGACTTTAAATAGTAATAGTTCGTCGGAAATATATTTGGCAAAGATGCAAGAAAATAGTGGCGGGAGAAGGAAATCCAGGCTTTGGCTCGACAAGGCATTTGCCAAGCTGACAGTTTCGGGCTCCGGATACCGTATCCGTGGTTTCGGTTCGTCGCATGCCGGATACGGTTCCGGTGGTTTGCGTTTGCCGCATGCCGGAGGATGAGCTGCTGCTGCGGCTGCTGGTGCTCGAGAGAGAGATCGACAGAGCTTGCGAGCTCGCGAGGAAGAACGAGAGGAGGCAGGGACGAAGGTGAGCTCGGCGCAATGGCTATGGCAGGGGCGAGCACAGCGACCAGTGTTGCCTCGGCTCACCTGTGTGGTCTTCGGTGCCCTTCGATTTTGTCTCGACATCAACCCCACGCCGTCGCTGCTTCTGTTGCGCTCACCCACATCTCAACTTTTATCACGTCGTCGTCCTCGGCTCCCAAGTTTTCGCCGCTGAATTGCTCTGCCTCTTCTTCGCGCGTTCTGTCCCGTCATTGTGGAGGAGCGCAATTCAAGAGTGGGGAGCTCGCTGGTAAATTTTCATGGAGGAGTTTCGGTGTGACGGATGGGACTGGTGTGAAGTTTGCTGGATTCGGAGCTGGAAACGCAGGGTTTGGAAGCAGGGTTTTGTGGGGACAGAAATTCTCCGTCAATGCGACGTTAGCTGAGACGGAAATCAGCAAAGAGCAGAAGAATTCTTCCGGAGATGGGGACAAGAGTCAGTTTGCCCTGTCTGTGCCTGCGTTTCAGAAAAGATTGCGAATTGCCGATATTAAAGGAGGTCCAGATGAAGGTTTAGGACGTGTAGGAGAGAAGATGGTCGTCCGCGGTTGGGTTCGCACCTGTCGCGTGCAGAAGACATTCTCATTTATAGAGGTACGTCGAATTGATGCAATGTCATTTGCTTGTACTTGTGCCCTCTTGTATGTAGTTGTTCCCTTTGATCTGTTTACGTTCATACATCGAATTTTTCGGCGCAGTTGCGAGTAGACTGCCTGTAGTGAATCCCGGTATCTCAAGTAATTGTGAGTTTTCTGGCTCCGCTATGCCTTCAAAACGCCAGAGTTACAATCTATCTGGAAACACTCAACCTTTTTGTAGCCAACATAAATGTCAATCAACTAGTCACGGAGATTCATTCCCATCCAAATGCTACGTGTTTAAGCTATCTTTTCTACAGAGTCAGGTGGTGTTTTTACATTAAACTTTTCTACTGTACTCTCGAAATGCGTCTTGCCAAAGTCTGTAAGCTATATTAGTACACAATCTCTTGTTGATGCTTTTTTCTTGATGCTTTGAACATCTCAGTTCAATCAATCTTTCGTGCTATCAGGTGAATGACGGCTCCACCCTCTCCAATCTTCAAGCAGTCGTGCAAAGTGACGTCGAGGGGTATGACACGGTACGTCTTTTCCTAACTATTTACCATGAAGAGAAAAATCCAGTGATGTGACCTTTTTAGTGTGCCCGTTGTCTTTCACCACTTTTCAAAGCATCTAATTGCTATTTCTTTTGACAGATAGAATCTGGCCTGGTAACAACAGGAGCATCAGTGGCCCTTGAAGGAGAACTCATCGAAAGTCAGGGCTCGAAACAGAAAGTGGAGCTGAAAGCCACGAAAGTGACACTGGTATTTTTTGTACTCTTCTAATTACTTGCAGATGTCATCTTATACTTAGTGTGGAGAAATCTACATTATAATTACTAAATTGGAGGAATTTTTTCAATAATCCCCTGAATTTTCGTGTACAAAAGATTATTTAGTTTGTAGCAAATTTGTCATCCAGTGCTTGGTCGTGTAGAAGTTATCGGAGAAATGAAATGATCAGCTCATCTCACCGAAGTCTTGTGAGATGAGCGCAAAGCTTGACTTGGATGAATGGGATTGTTCTCTTTTGTCAGATTGGTGGGAGTGATGCAACCACTTTCCCTGTCCAAAAGAAGAAGTTGACTCGTGAGTATCTAAGGACGATAGCGCATATGCGGCCTCGAACGAACACTTTTGGTGCCGTAAGTGCCTAACATTGGAGCATTGTTTGAGTTTCCTCATGGTTCTTTTATGAAAAAGAAAATGTCAGTTACTGTTGTATTAGGATGCTGTTGCTGTTCCGGGTTGGTTCCATTTTCATTCTTTCAACCTTCTTAGGTCGAAAGAATGCTCGTCCAAGTGTCGGATGAGCGTTATTTGGTGAACGCAGATGTGGGGCGCTGCTCATTAAATTGCCCACTTGGTGTGTATATCTGAACAGGTTGCCAGAGTCAGAAATGCCTTGGCGTATGCAACCCATCAATTTTTTCAGGAGAAGGGCTTCGTATGGGTAGCCAGTCCGATCATCACAGCATCTGACTGCGAAGGCGCAGGGGAACAATTTTGTGTGACAACTCTGGTAAACCATACATTCATTGTACAAGGATGTGTGACGGCTGAGGCTACTCAAATCACTTACATGCGTTAATATGACGTCTGACTTGGACAACCTATAACTGTGCAGATTCCCAACTCTCACCTGGATCCAAAGACCAAAGTGTCTGACATCCCTGCCACCAAGGACGGTGTGCTGGATTGGTCACAGGTAAGTCTTTGAGCAAATTGGTGCTGGACTCAGTTGAAACACGATAAGAAGACCTATCTGTTCGTATACAGTCTATATTTTGAACGCATGGAAGTCATTCTCCTCCAAGATCTGAACGTAACAATCTTTGGTTGTGCTCGCAGGACTTTTTTGGAAAACCTGCCTTTCTGACTGTCTCAGGACAATTGAATGCTGAAATATACGCAACGTCATTATGCGACGTAAGATCAGCAACATATGGGATTATCATGCCTGTATAGTTGTCAAGAGAACATCAAAATATGATTCGTCTTCTTTACTTGCGGTGGACACCAAGTTAAACGAACTGTTTGACTTCGTAGTTGATTTCTAACCCAGCTGTGATGTCATACAGGTATATACATTCGGGCCGACGTTCAGAGCTGAAAATTCTAATACTAGTAGACATCTTGCTGAGTTCTGGGTAAGTTTTTTGTCTTCGTTCTTAAAGTCTGCACATTGTATACAAATACATGCGAGTTTTAGCTCTAGAACTAGCAGACATCTTCCTGAGTTCTTGTCAAGTTTTAGCTTATAGGTTGTTTTATTGTTCACAGATGTATACATCTGAATGCTGATTGAAGCGTTTTTGCGCAGATGATCGAACCAGAGCTTGCTTTTTCGGATTTAAAGGACGACATGGCTTGCGCCACTGCTTTCCTGAAATATGTCGTATGTATATTCGCTCTGCATTCTTCCAGAGCAGAATAACGAATTTAGAGTTTGTTAGAATTTTGTTTAACGTATTAGTGAGGACCAAAGGTAGCTCTCTTTATATAAAAATACAGCGTCTTTTCAGGCGTATGCAGGTTTTCACTGCTGTATTTTGATACTTTTTATTTAAATTACTGAGGATTTGGAGTTGCTTTGCAGGTCAAACATATTCTTGAAAACTGCAAAGAGGACATGGATTTCTTTGACAAATGGGTAGAGAAAGGAATCATAGCTAGGCTTCAGGTACAGTATCCGCTACTATGAAACCATGAACTTGCAAATATCTGCCGGAGTCATTACCTAAGTTTGATCGACGTGAAGATTGAACTTCTTGAGGTGGCAACATGGCTTCTTTTCGTCGCATGTTCAGTTCACTTGGTCAGTCGTTGAAAGAAATGCATGAACCTTGGGAATTCGTTGAACGCAGGCTGTCGCGGAGAAGGATTTTATTCACATAACGTATACAGATGCTGTTGACCTTTTAACCAAAACTAAGAAGAAATTCGAATTCCCTGTAAGTGCAATCGGATGCTATTTTGTAAGCAGTATAGAAACATCCATCCCTAAGTGCACGCTCTCGTTATTTTCCGTCTGGTAGACCTCCTTTTTCACTTTATGCCAACGGCAGGTCAAGTGGGGATGTGACCTGCAAAGCGAGCACGAACGCTACTTAACGGAGGAAGCTTTCAAAGGGAGCCCTGTAATTGTGACTGACTATCCTAAGGTGAGTTCAATGTTGTGCAGTCGACGTGATTTCGAAAGAACTTTTTTGTGGTTTGGAGTCTGTATGAATTGTTTGATCGGACAGTCTTGTCTACCTTCTCGTATATTTTCATTCCGTACTAATTTGTGGCAATTATTTGTCTGGCAGGACATAAAAGCATTCTACATGAGGGAGAACGAGGATGGGAAAACTGTGGCTGCCATGGATGTCCTTGTCCCACGGGTACTCTTGACACCTACGTCGTTCCTCTTCGTACACGCATATGGTGCAACAAGTTGGATTATTTTACTAACTGACAGTTTGTCAATGGTAATATTTCTGTAGTGATGTAACGTCAACTTTTCTCAATTGTGTACACTCTCAGGTGGGTGAGCTCATTGGCGGAAGCCAGCGTGAAGAAAGACTAGATAAATTAGAAGCACGCATTGAGGAGTTAGGGTTGAGCAAGGAGAGCTATTGGTGGTATCTCGATCTTCGACGTTATGGAACAGGTATTGCACTTACTATTGTCAACGGTTGGTTCTGGTTGTCTTCAACGGACGATGCATCTGGCTTGGGAGTCATTTTGTACTTTTTAGAGTCAATTGTGTAAGCATTGGGCATTCATGTCTTAGAAATTTTAGCTAGTTACCAACTGCTTGAATATAGCGAACGTTACATGTCCATTTAGATAGAATTAGATGATAGTGCAAAATGGAGTCCTTCGGTTTTTTAGATGCTTTGATGTTCTCCATACAATTAGTTTGTGCTTGTTCTTCATGACCACGATCAATAAGTGCTCTGCAGAGATTAATGTACCTCCATCTTCAATTTACATCATTGGTTTAAAGGCTTTTACGCTTTTACATGTCTTCTGACTTATCTTCGTCGTCGCCTTTCTTGTATCATGTGCAGTTCCTCACGCAGGTTTCGGACTTGGATTCGAGAGGCTTGTACAGTTCGCGACTGGTATCGAGAACATTAGGGACGTGATTCCATTCCCTAGGACTCCTGGATCGGCTGAATTTTAGCTTAGTTATAATTTAGGTTTCCGAAGTTGTGTTTATAATTCTTTTTCTATTGCGAAATCATCATCATTTCGTCGCTGCTCTGGCCATTGGTCGAAATTTCTTGATTTTCGAGTATCATTGTTCGATTTTCTGCTGTACCCAGTCGTGCAAGATACAGTTGTGTTTCGTCGAGTTACACCCGACCCGAAGGGCAGGGATGCAATTATGCCGCTGTATGCTGGGTTGACCGATACATAGTCCATTAAAGTAACGACCAAGCGGAACCAACCAATGAATTTATGTTTCTTACGGGTCCATGGCAAACCACGTTTTAAACGGGAACACATGTGGAGCAATGTTTCATCCTGAACTGGGAACTCTGGTGGCTGGCAATCTGGAGTAACGATGATAGTAACCAGTCTGAATTGATGAAGTATCGGTTCACTGTTCAGGAAGGGCACCAGTGGTTGGACTCTTACTGTCGGTGTCGCGAGTCTTCTTGTGTTTTATGGGTTCCGCTTAACGCAAAGAGTCGGAAACCAGGGATTGAAGGTCGGATCGGAAGAAGAAAGTTGTGAGAAGGTATGAAGGGAAACACTTATATTTCTTTCATGTCACGTGAAGGGTTGACGATACTGGGCACCACTAGAAGCGGCGAGAGTCAGGTAGGAATATAGACTAGAAGTACGACATCTTAACGGGGTAATCCTAAACTTGGTTAAATTATTGTAAATCGTACGTTAGAGACATATTACAGACGTTAGTTATAGAAGATCATGACACCATTGTTGTCCAACAGTATGAAGTTAAAATAATTCACGTAAAGAAATACAACATTCACTGGTGATGTCCTTGTCTACAGTAGTGTTCATGTATGAAGCTTAAATCAAATGATCTCCCTTGTATAAAATTGCTCACTTACTTAATTTATTTCATCAACAAACATTATTCAGTCATTCAAAAATTTCCTAAAACCAATCTGCAACGGAGACCGTGAACTTATCAACTCTAATGAAACATACTTTTAGAGGATAATTGAATACGATAAAGAGAATTGGGTTCTAAATCTAAAAAAAATGTATGTCAAAGTAAAGTTGGTTAAACCTCATTTTCCATATATTTGTAAGAGAAGATACTTTAATTATTGGAAATAGATGATAAATGAAAGAGAAGCTTTCTCTATCCTTATATCACTAAACTGAGCTTCGTTTATATTATGGATGTGTAAATTATATTTGAAAAGTAAGTTAAATAGGATAAACAGAAAAAATGTGATGTAAAAGTGACTTTGTTTTACTGTATTATTAAAAAAAAATTTTATTACATCATGAAATGATAAATTTTCTTAAATGTTAATGCTTGGAAAAAAATCAAATTCTAATTATTTTATAATGAATTTTATACATAAATTTTTTGTTAATTTATGCGAATTAAAATAAGGATATTAATGTATATTCAGTAAAATGAGTCGATTATCTATGAAATTATAAAATAAAATTCAATTAAGAAAATAATTCAAATCAAATTCAAGAATTTGTCAATTATAAAAATTAAACTAATAATTAAACCCATATATAAAAATAAATTTTGGAATTGAAAATCTAATGAATCATAATTATATTTATTATAAAAATCATGGGATAGCATAATTATGTTGATTATTTTTATTACTAAGAAAAAGATAAATTATTGTCAAGAATATTTAAGATACAGATCTTTATGATTACATCGTCTAAAAAAATTCGAAATTTTTTTTAATTCATATTCTATAGAGTAATGATAATCATGTAATTTTTGATAAAATTTATAATTTTCTTCATAAAAAGATTAGAATTATATCATTATTATCTTATGATTTATGTTTTCAAAATTTTAAATAAAAACAATTTCTTCTATACGAAAAGAGACGAACTAAATATATATTCAATCAAAATTAAAAACCTATCAACTTTTTGTAGTGAATGAGATTTAATAGATAGTTGAAAGTAATTCTACTCGAAACAGGTTGCATGATATGAATGTACAAAGTTAAAACTTTAAGAAGATGTTTTTTATAATATTGGTTCATTAAAACTTGATTTTTGCAAATTTAAATTTGATCAAATTCAATTTGTATATTTTTAATGCATGATGATTATCAAGAAAAAAATTTAATATTTTCAAACAGTTTTATTTTTAAATCGTATTGATGTATATTATGATGTGTTATATATATATAAATTGGTTTTCAAAATTAAAAATTAAAAACTTATAAGATATAAAATCTTTTGTAAATACTAAAATAATACATTAAAAATTATGTTCATCTTATGATAAATTGTTAGATTGGATTTTATCAACAAGTTCGATTTCAAAATTACACTTTTTGATAAAAGAATTATTGATATTTTGCTATTTATGATTTAAATAGAAATTAGAGAATTTGAAATTTAAAAAATTTAAAACACATGCTAGAAGAACATTTATTACGAAAGGATAAAATCAATTAGTTAGATCTAACTCTAGAGATCGGGCAAAATTTATTGTGATTACAAGTGAAGTTATCCTTAGTACACTAATATGCTGTAAAAAGAACTGGGATTGTTCGAGAGGGACGCAAAACTCACAGGGATTAAAAAGTTTCTTCAAATTTTGAATGGACGCTATTGCAAATAACTCTAGGTGTGTTGACTTAATAATTTTGATGTGAATGTAAATGTGATGCTTTAATTGTTTGCAGGTCACTGACATATACAAATTAAAAAATTGCAATTTACAGAAGGTTTGAGAGTTAATTTAAAAATCAGGATTGATTTCCATGATTCTCTTAATTTTGATTGGATGCAATAAATGGAAATCTAAATCAATGAAACTTAGACTTGCAACTAAAAAGCGGGAGGTGAAGATGATCTCTTGGCAGCAAGAATTGAGGTTATTGCAAAGTTAATGTTACATCAATTTTCAAACATCTATATATCCACGTCTGATTATAACAGGATGCTCAGAATTTTTCAGATTTTGTCATATTAAAACTCAAGCCAACGGTAAAGATTATTCACATGATCGTGAAATCCACTGTGCATTGTGAATCAATTTAGAAAATCATGAATTTTTGAGTATATCCTGATTAATTTGGCTGTTTGTCGGAGATCTTTTGATATCAATCCTTGGATTCAGTAAATGAACTTTGAAAGTACTATGATATAATCGAAACCTCCACTCTCACATCTCCTTCCCTGAACAAGCTCCCCCGTGCCTGTGGCAGCCAAAGGCACGAGCCTATTGCTCAAACTTTGCTGAAATAATTCAGAAAGTTACACTACAAGAAACTCAAATAAGTCTCTCTCTCTCTCTCTCTCTACAACAGTAGCAGTGTGAGAAGTCAACATATGTCTTCCTCAATTGACATAGCTCAAATAAAATAATTTCTTTGAGAATGCGTTCATTCCAGATGGTGTAAAATAAGCTCAAATCCAACTGATCCGACATATGATGTCGCAGATAACACGGAGAAAATACTTTAGCTAATGCGGACAAAGTTAGAACATGCCATTATTTATTCTACTAGAAGCAGGATATATTTGATGAAGGACCATTGGTTGCATGCAGCTGGATAGAAATCTACACCTGAGTAAAATTAGCTCTTTCCAATACATCTGGCCCAAAAGTAGAAACCGCAAACCTTTGTTTACCTATGGTTAGTGTAGCTGACCCCCGACTTTAGGACTCTCCGCTATATATACCATCGTCATCAAGTCTCCAGCTCGTTGACTTGGTTATAAACGCCAAATTTACTGTGGTTTCCACATCCGGATGACTCTCGGCGTCTGGCAGCAGCATGTGGACACTTCGATCACCTTGCTGGAGAAAAGGTGGGCTGGGGAAATGCACACAAAGGTCGCAGAAAGTTAGCAATCAGTGCAACCGCTACTTTAACTTTCCAGTGGTTTAAAAGGAGCATTCCAGCATGCATGATGATAAAGAATAAGAAGCTATGCACTCTTTCCTAAGTTTTAGAGTTGCGAGTTGCAAAAAACTAATATCTTCCGGGCACCGGATATCTTCATCACAACTTCCACCACAGCAGAAGTATTGTACTTATTATGTTTGAGCTCCAACCAAATTCTCGCGTGATGCTTATGTGTGCTGTCCCTCGGTTGTGACTGCCCTAGGGACAATAGCTATCCGGTCGTAATTGTCCAACATGACTATTGATCCGTGTACTTCGGCGATGGTCACGGGCGCAGTGTTGAAGAAGGGTTGATGAACTACTCTGAGATCCTAGTATGGGGTCTGTTGGTTCGGAATTACCTTAACATATTTCTTCAACCAGATCATCATCAGCAAGTGCATGACAAATGCAAATTCGGTAGGCTAATTCCTGGTTTTGAGTTTTGTTTTTTCCTTATTCGGCTTGATGGGTCTTCCCATAATTTTTGTTATCTACTTGGCCTCCTGCGGGTATAGTTTGGTTTCTATCGATTCCAAGCGAGAGACAAAAGACCAGAAATATTAAAGAAAATATAAATGAATAATACTAACCTTAATCAAAGGTTAGTATTAAGCATCGTTCACAAACAGTTGACACCCAACACTTTGGCTTCTTTTGATTATGCAATTTTCATAATAAGGAGAAAGAAGTAGTAACAAAGAAACTATCCGAACAAAGAAAAAGGGGAGGAATATATTCTTCAGAAGTGATGGCTGACTAAGGGTGTTGCATGTCATTTTCCTTCAACGAGATGTCTCCCCATGATCCGCCGGAAGCTCGTCGTTGACTCCCCGGTGAAGAGGATAAAGTGACTGCGTGTTGAGTCGTATTCTTTCGAATGAAACTCATAAATATCCCGGATCCGAAGACTCGGATGAAGGAGCGCTCGTCCATGGGTTCAATTCACGGACGAGATACTGTAACATGAAACCAGAAAGGGAGGAAGGTTCAGGTTCCCAACAACAGGAGGGAGAGAGAGAGAGAGAGGGAGAGGGTAGTTAGCAAATCATGACAATCTGATTCCGTGCAAGGACGTGATTACAGTCGTAGTCTCCGCATAGGACGAGTTTAGCTGCACAAACTTATACATAGCCCCTATATAGGGCCTTCATAGACCCAGGCAGGTGTCATCCTGCAGTGAGCCGTTACGGAAGTTCTTCTTTTCGCTCTAACTCTACTCCTTTGGACCAAAGATGGAAGAATGTGCGGGCAGACTAACCGGGCAGGTTTTTCATTGGCACTCAGTTTTCCGGTGGAGCATCAAAGTGACTGAAGTAGATCGCTCCGCTTTCCGGCAGACGGATCTAGCGATGGACTATAAGAACATATGGGCATCCATCCGCACTCAACTATGAGGGAATCCCTATTCTCACAACCTGGTCGACGTCATACTGACGACCATAGTTTTTCACAGCAGAATTGTTCAACCGATGTTTGAAACTGTGTCGAACACCTTGAAAATGTTTCTCTTCGTGCTTTTCCCTTCTTCCCCTGCTACCTGAGCACATGAATCCACCGGAGAATGGATCGAATAGGCAAGTCACAATTTGCCAGTTAGTCTTTCTGAATCAAGACCTGAATCGACGTATTACTTTGAAGAGAGCAACTCGGCACATTGATAAAGTCGGTGTGGATGATCCAACAGCGATGGTTGACTATGCTAGAAAAATGTCGTTTCAAACACGAGTCAGGGATAGGAGTAACATTCAAATTTTTTCTTGACTCGCTGGTTCAAAGTGCGCTGGTGATAGTTGGGGAACTCCGAGGAGA